AATAATAACAATAATGTATGATACGTTTTTGTTTCCAGAAGAAGCTGTTCTTAGTACTCGTTTGATGAAGATGAGCGGATACCAAGATTGGTCAAATGCTTTGGATTCCGGGCCTTACTTTGACACGACAGCCCCATCAAACGTGACAGGATTGGTTGGAAAGACCGTCGAACTCGACTGCAGAATGAAGAATCTCGGCAACAGAACTGTAAGCATTCTCACTATTCTAACCATTAAGTAAATATGAGTACTCTTAATAAAGGATATTTAGTGATCCTCGTGTCACTGTGCATAAGCAGATTTTCCTATAAAATCGATATGTACAGTCAATAAACGAGGCCTTAAACATTATGCGTATCAGATCAGCAGATTTATTTACGTGGCCAGCGTGCAATCCCAAGGATAACAATGAAAAGCTTGCACTAGTAATCACGAAACAGGCAGAATGATTATTTCTGTAATCCATGGATGGAACCTTTCAAAGCTTTGCCATCTGTCTTTGAAATACTAAATCCATCAATCCATCCACCTTACATTTCTCTAAAAACATAAAAAATGATAAGAATTCTATTATCAACTTGTCTCTTATTTACTGCAGACCTTTGGGTTAGGTAACAATACTTAAACAAATTGAGTTCTGGTAAAGGAGACGCACTCTTGGAACTGTTAATTAGAACGAAAGTTAATCCGACGGATGATCCCCGGAGCCGTCATAACACTCGAAAGCTGAGTCATTTCCTATCTGCACAGCAGGATTGGATAGTAACGACGAATTCACAGTTTAAATGGCAATCCCGATCGTTTTTGCCTGCGTAATTTAACAGATTACGTGCTCAGCCATTCGAGCCACGCTGCGGCTATAGGCAATCATCGAGAATCGCTATACATATGTATACTGCACCAGTACATATACTGTAATCTATGTGATTTGCCGAAAATCGTGTCCTCTGGCCAATCATTACACTCTATCTATTTGCTATCTGTATGTAATATTTGATCTATAAACGATATCAATCCGTTAATTGCATAGGATTTATGGATGCATTCATCAAACATTTTTCAGTGACTTCATTACATTCCGTTTTTAGTTTTCATTTTTTTTATTTACAATA